AATTATAGAATTTTTCATTTTAAAAAATTATTTCTTTAAAAATCGTTTATATATAAACGTTGCGTACTTCAGCTTCGTTTAAATAAGTCGTTTTCGACTTACTAATTATATTAAAATGATTTTGAAGATGAAAGAATATAAATTTTAGAAAATTCTGATAGAATATTGTGAAGTTTAGTGTCATTTTTAAATATTTTGAGAAAGTAATTGTGGGATTTGATTACGGCAAAATCATGAGTGTTCAGTTTTTTTTATCCTTTTATTTACAGTGGTTGCACTGCTAACTTGATATCAAGTTAGCTGTGCACCCTGTTTTTTTTAAAAAATCAAAAACGGCAAAATTGGGAATTTCACGAATAATTAGCGGCATATTTTCCAATATGAGATTTCTGATTTTACGAGAGTTGTTTTTCTAACTTGATACACCTGGCAACCATCTAATTACAAAAAAATTTATCCTGTGAGAAGTTTCTACTTTATGAAATGAAAAGAATTTTATTCTTTATCAAATTAATAACGTTTTTCATGTATTTCTGAAAAACGGGAACAGGTAGAAATTTATTTCAAATGGATTTTTAACCTATAAATATGTCAAAAACATGCTACACAATCCGTTTTTATCCGCATTTTTGTGAAAGCTATCTTCGCTTCTAGAGCACCGTGCGCAGAGGACTCCGTTTTCTGGCGAGAAAAATTTATGTGCCCTTCTTTGATCCGGCAGCTCAATTTCAAAAGATTGTGTTAAATTTCAGACAATAATTGAGGCTCTGGATCTTAAAAGGGCACACGCGCCATTCACTTTCGCATTGTGTATGTGCCCTTTCAAGATCCGAAGCCTCAATTATAATAAGAGAAATTTTTAGTGATTTCTGTTGATGAAGAATTTATTAGAAATCACATAGAAAAATTGAATTCCAAAGTTTTTAATTGAGAAATGCTTTCATATAATTGGATTTTCGAAGAGTATTATAAAAATCATTAAAAATAATTCAAATTTTTGCCAATAATTAAATTTCAAGTGATTTTGAATTAAAAAATTTTGGTAATTTTATTTGCTAATTTTTTTAAAATTATAAACAATTATTAAATTTCATAAAAATTTTAATTAAAAAATAGTTGAAGATAATTGAATTTGTGAAGAATTTCATTAAAATTATTAAAAATAATTAATTTAGTAAAGAATTTTAGTTAAAAATTTGTTAAATAATTGAAATAAAAAGATGTGCATTGTATACTAAAAAAACGTACTTTGTTTAAAAATTTTGTAAAAAAAAAGTAAAAAAAAATGTAAAAAAATTCGAAAAAGTCGAAAAAAGTCGTATTTTTGAAAAAAAGTCGAAAAAGTCGTACAATCCAAAGCCTGCATTATTTAATATAAATAGTAATTACGTGTAGTGAGACGTATGAATTTGAATGCTATAATTTCGCATTTTTTCAATAAAGAATGTTCATTATTAATTATTCAATTAGTAGTAAAATTAAACGCGCGCAGGCGCGCCAAATTGCCTATTTAATTGTTTGTTATAAAGAAATTAAAGATTAATATTATCAATAATAATTTAATTTATTAGAATATTATTACATATTAAATGATAATAATGAAAATTATATGTTTACAGGCCTCGGATTATACGATATTTTCCGACTTTTTTCAAAAATACGACTTTTATCGACTTATTTTAATAAAATGCGACATTTTTTTTACATTTGAAAAAAAATGTAAATAAAATACATTTTTTTAGTATAAAATTTATATCTTCTTCAGATCTTCTTGAATTCAATTATTTAACAAATTTTGAACTAAAATGATTCTTCACTAAATTAATTATTTTTAATAATTTTAATGAAATACATCACAAATTCAATTATATCAAAATTATTGTTCAATTAAAATTTTTATGAAATTTAACAATTGTTTATAATTTTAAAAAAAATATCACAATAAAATTGAATTATTTTTCAAAAATTTCAATTCCAAATAAACTAAAATTCAATTATTACCCGAAATTTTAATTCAAAATCAATTAAAAATCCAATAATTATCCAAAATTTTCAATTTAAAATTTAATTATTTACCAAGTTTTCAATTTAAAATGAAATAAAATTCAATTATTTTCTAAAATTTCTATTCAAAATTAATTATCCAAATTTTCAATCAAAAATTAACTCAAATTAAATTATTATCCAAAATTTCAATTAAAATTCAATTATTTCCCAAAATTTTCAAATCAAAATGAACTGAAATTCAAATAATTTTCCAAATTTACAATTAAATAAAATTTAATTATTCTCAAAAATTTGAATTCAAAATTAATTGAATTTTCAATAATTTGAATTTAAAAGCATCTAAAATTTCTAAAATTTTCCATCGAATTTTTTTTTTTGAAATTTAATAATTTCAATTATAACTCTAAGGAAATTCAATTATTTTTAACTATTTTAATAATATTCTTTGAAAATTCAACTATCTGAAACCATTTTTCAATTAAAAATGATTTTCAAATTATTGTATTTTGTCCGCATTTTCTAATAAATTTTTAGTGAAATCATCTAAAATTTTAATTACAAAACAATTAAAGGTTTAATTAATTTCAAAAATCTCAATTTTAAATCTTTGAAAATTCAATTAAATTTAAAAAATGTTTTCCAAAAATTGTTTGATAAATTATTTTTAGTTTTGTAAAATTTAATAATTGTTTGAAAATTAACAATATGTTTTGAAATTTAATTATTTCTAAAAATTCCAACTTTAACCCTTCGAAAAGGATTATTATTAAAAAAAAATTTTATTTTAAAATCTGTAAAATATTTTTGTTAAAATAAAAAACAAATCCATTTTTTTTGGAATATAAATAGACTAAAACGACTTTTTGTGTCTTTAAGTTAATTCGAGGCCTGTGTTTTTATAATTAATATTGAATAGGTATTCATTGGCCCCTGGTACCTTAAAAATTAATTTTTAAAAATAAATTTTTTTCAAATTACTATCTTGTACGAAATTTCCTGGCGCATCATAAATTTTTTGTATTTGTATACAATTTTTGAATCAATATACAACTTTAAAAAAAATTTCGTTGGTAAACGTTGTGTACCTCAGCTTCGTGAATTGAATTTTCGAATTTGGAATTTTAAAGAAACTTATTTCGAAATTTGGAAACACAATTATACAACTTTGGCAAAAATGAGAAAAAGAATTGTCAAAATTTGACACGTCATAAGATTACTATTCAAAAAAACACGTGAAATCAGAAAAGGCCAACTTCAAGTTAGGACAGAAGGACAGACCAAGCATTTTATTAATATATTACACGCGCGCAAGCGCGCGTCCAACTTTCATTGCAATGGTTATTTTAAAATAATAATAATATTAATAATAATAATAATAATTCTGCATCAGTGGAGTATTAAAATAATAATAGGTATATTTCTAATTTTCACGTTATCATTTATTTATACACAGAAAAAAATGAGTTTGATGTTATATAAATAAATAAATTTAAGAAAAAATTTTAAAATATAAATATTAAAATTTTAGAAATAAATATTTTTGATAAAGTCAATGTTCGATGAATTTTTTATAATCTTTTAAATTACAAAAAATTAATTATGCTAAATATTTTTTTGTATTTTCTATAAATATTTCGTTGCAAATCAAAATTTTAAATTTATGTTTTTTTTCAAAAAATTTAATTAACTGATAATTAATAAGTATTAAAAAATTATGTAATCAAAAAGAAATTTAAATTAACTGAAAATTATTAATTATATTTTAAAAAGTATTAAGCAATTAAAAAATATTTAAAAATTTTGAAAAAATAAAACCTAAAAAAAATTTGTAATGTTTTAAACTTTAAACTTAAATTAAAAATTAAAATCAAATTGAAAATTTTTTAAAAAAGCAAACTATTTTTATATTGTTTATAGATAAAAAAAATATAACAATTTAATAATTAATAATAATAAATTTGTGAATAATAATATATAATAAATAATAATGAATAATGAAAAAATAATGAAAGATAAATAATAATTATAAGTTAAAATGTTCTAATTATCTGTAATAATCATTATATTTAAAAAAATGTATATATAATATAATAAATTTATAAATAATAATAAAAATTATATTATAATTGAAACTTTTTTTTTTCTATAAATACCAAGTAGGAAATATACTGGTGCTGCACACAATGAACAATATTTTTTTTTTTACTTTAAACTGTCACTTAGTATATGACTTAATTAATGACCATGAATAAAAATATCCGTCGTGTTAACCATAAAATATTACGAAATCAAGAATTGTCAAAATTTTAGAAAAACAAAAGGAACAAAATACGACTAACTTCAAGTGTGGACAGACGGAATGACTGAATGAATACGGAAAATATTATAGTTAATAATAATACCGCATTTCAAGAGAAAACCTTATTTTGTTTTTAAATGTCAACTAGACCTTAAGAAAATTTTTTTTTATGTAAAAAAGAGGAAAATTTTAATTATTTATAGTTTTAAAAAAATAAATTTTTTTCGTCTAATATTTTCAGAAACTTATTTTCATCAGTAGAAGTAAAAAAAGAATATTAAACATTGAAAATTAGGTTTGTTAATTTGTGGTGATCCGTTTTTGAAATTTTGACCCAACGACAAAATTATTTCTTTTGTAACTAACTTATTATTTTTTAATCATTTTGCAACAGTTATATTAAATATAATAGTAATAATAGTTATTTTTTATGAACGCGCCGTAATTGATGCACTCGACGTAATTGGTACACTTACCCTACACAAAATAAAAATTGTGTAGAGTTTAAAGTTATTACTTTTTAATTTTATTTTGCGACTGTAATCAGTTTGACGAAGTAGGATTAGACAATATTTAAACAATTGTGTTCTTCATTCAAGGCACGTGTTCATCATCATACTTTATAACCTAAACTCATTTTATTTTACACGTTGACTAGACAAATAAAAATATTTATATTAAATGAAAATCTTACTTGTATCTTGCTTGATTAATAAAAATGAACTAATTGGATATATTTATCAAATGATCCTGTTCTGCTTTTTAAAAAATACAAAATAACAATTTTAAATTATTTTGATAATTAATTCCCAAAGGTCTAAACACAACAGCTTTGCAAGTGAGATAGGATAGGACTCGGCACAGTCACATCATAATGCTGAGTCTACATTAAAGGCCAAAGCAGAATAAGGCAGTCCAACTTGTGACGTAGTGTAACGTCACTTTTCAAAATGGTGGCTGGTCGGAAGACATGCAATGCATTGAAGTCAATAGAGCGAATCAGTTTTTTTAACATTGGGAACCGCAGAGCTGCGATAAGCCATCTGGTGTCGACCCACTTGCGGTAGCCATTTTTTATTTTGTCTCTGTCTAACATATGTATAAAGAAAGAGACAAAACAGCAAGATGGTTGCCTCAAGTGGGTTCAGGGTTGAGTAGTTACACAAGGTTTCGGATACCAATAACTTTTGAAAAATTAATTTTTGAACTCAAGTGTAATTGTAAAATATTTTTTATTTATCGAGATCTATTTTTTAAAATAATAAAAATTAATTTTTTGATTTTATAATTTTAAAAAATAGATCTCGATAAATAAAAAATATTTTACAATTACAATTGGGTTCAAAAATTAATTTTTTTAAAGTTATGTTAAAAAAATTGATTCGCTCCATTGACTTCAATGCATTGCATGTCTTCCGACAAGCCGCCATTTTGAAAAGTGACGTCTCGCTATGTCACAAGTTGGATTGCCTTATGGAGGTTCTACAATAGGTGCAAAAGCCAAGTACAAGTACAAGTCCAAATGCAAATCCCATGAGTGCAAGAGAGATACATAGACTACCTATCCCCTTCGCAGTCATTATATTGCCACTTCGACTTGCACTTGGCTTTTGCACCTATTCTGGAACCTACGGAAGCCTGTACGGCTCACGAGCGTCTCGGACGCAAGTGGCGCCCTATCGAAAATTCCGACATCGGAACATAGATTGTAGCCTACATCTGAAACGTTATCTAAATGCATATAGGAAACTATATCGGGAACCATATGGGATGCTATATCGGAAACTATACAGGAATCGATGTTGGAAATTGGGACAGGCAAAGATGTATTTTCCCATATAGTTTCCGATATGGTTTCTACCCAGTTGAAAATTCCGACCTCGTTTACGACGTCGTATTCTAAGTAGTTTGCGACGTAGTAAACGACGTAGAAAACGACATAGTAGCAAACTACGTCGTTTACTACGTCGTTTACGATGTCGTTTACTACGTCGTTTACGATGTTGCAAAAATTATTTTAATATTATTTATTTAGTAATTTAGTAAGTCCAATATCCAATATTAAAAATTTTAATAATAATTTAAAAAATCAATAATTTAAAAAAAATTTATTTTTATTATTTTTTAATAGTTATTATTATTATTTTATTTTTAATATTTAAATTAAAATAAAAAAATGGTCATCAAAATATTAGTGAAACCATTTCTTCCAAAAAAGAATTTGTCTCAAATCCAATAAAGGAGAGACATCGGGCAGAAAAAAATTTCGACAAAAAAAAAATTTTCGATCACTGCTTATATACCAATCTAATGGCACCTCAACTGCGAGAAACAGTTATGATGTTCGCCCTCCCTGTGGCGTTGAGCGAACTTAAGTCCAGAGCTGAGCCATCAGCGCAGCGCGGAAACATTTGAAAAATTTGATTTTATTAGATATTTTATTTTATTTTAAATATGACAAATAATTAACTTAATAAATAATTAATGTCATAAATAATTATTAATAACATAATGTCATACTTAATAATTCGTTAATTAATTATTTTTAACGAAAATTTGACAAAAAAAAATTTGTTGGACAAAAAAAATATTACCATTAAAAAATAATTTTTTTGTTAAATTTTCGTAGTAAAAAAAATTTTTTCAAGACAATTATTTGTGACCTAAAAAAATATCACGATGAGAATATAATTAACAAAAAAAATTACTCGTAGCACAGAAAAAATTTCACCATGAGAAAATAATTTTTTTAAAATTTTATTTGTAAAAAATTTATTGGTAGCTCAAAAAAAATATCACGATGAGAAAATAATTTTTTGTCAAATTTTCTTTGTAAATAAATTAATTAACTAAATAACGTACCGTAAAACGGGGTTATTTCGCTCATTGCGGGTAAATTCGCTCACCCACTTTTATGCTTTATTTCAGCTTTAAAATAAAGTTTAATACATTTAAAATGAACTTAAATTAAATTATTATCCAAAATTTCAATTAAAATTCAATTATTTCACAAAATTTTCAATTCAAAATGAACTGAAATTCAATTATTTTCCAAATTTAAAATCAAATAAAATTTCATTATTCTCAAAAATTTGAATTCAAAATTAATTGAATTTTCAATAATTTGAATTTAAAAGCATCTAAAATTTCTAAAATTTTCCATCGAAATTTTTTTTTTTTGAATAATTTCAATTATAACTCTAAGGAAATTCAATTATTTTTAACTATTGTAATAATATTCTTTGAAAATTCAACTATCTGAAACCATTTTTCAATTAAAAATGATTTTTAAATTATTGTATTTTGTCCGCATTTTCTAATAAATTTTTAGTGAAATCATCTAAAATTTTAATTACAAAACACTTAAAGTTTCAATTAATTTCAAAAATCGCAATTTTAAATCTTTGAAAATTCAATTAAATTTAAAAAATGTTTTCCAAAAATTGTTTGATAAATTATTTTTAGTTCTGTAAAATTTAATAATTGTTTGAAAATTAACAATATCTTTTGAAATTTAATTATTTCTAAAAATTTCAACTTTAACCCTTTGAAAAGGATTATTATTAAAAAAAAAATTTTATTTAAAAATCTGTAAAACATTTTTGTTAAAATGAAAAACAAATCCACTTTTTTTTGGAATATAAATCGACTAAAACGACTGTTTTGTGTCTTTAAGTTGATTCGAGGCCTGTGTTTTTATAATTAATATTTAATAGGTAATCGTTGGCCCCTGGTACCTTAAAAATAAATTTTTTTCAAATTACTATCTTGTACGAAATTTCCTGGCGCATCTTTTTTCTCATCATAAATTTTTTGTATTTGTATACAATTCTGAATCAATATACAATTTTTGAATTAATATACAACTTTAAAAAAAATTTCGTTGGTAAACGTTGTGTACTTCAGCTTCGTGAATTGAATTTTCGAATTTGGAATTTTAAAGAAACTTATTCCGAAATTTGGAAACACAATTATACAACTTTGGCAAAAATGAGAAAAAGAATTGTGAAAATTTGACACGTCATAAGATTACTATTCAAAAAAACACGTGAAATCAGAAAAGACCAACTTCAAGTTAGGACAGAAAGACAGACCTAACATTTTATTATTATATAATTATTTAATTAATTTTTTTTACAGAGAAATTTTTACAACAAAATTATTTTTCATCGTGATTTTTTTTAAAAACACAAATATTTTTTTTTTCAAAGAAAATTTGAAAAAAAATTATTATTTTATCATTGTGATATTCTTTTGTGCTACGAATAAATTTTTGGTAAATTTTCGTAGTAAAAAAAATTAACGATTTATTACGGTATTAGTGAATTAATTGTTTTGGAGAGAAAATTTGACAAAAAAGTTATTTTCTTATCGTGATAATTTTTTTAGGCCATAAAATATTTTTTTTACAGAGAAAATTTAAAGATAATTAAATTTCTCATCTTGATATTATTTTTGTGCTACAAATATTTTTTTGTTACATTTTCGTTGTAAAAAATTAAGTAACTAATAATTACCGTAAAACAGGGTTATTTCGCTCAGTGCGGGTAAAGTCGCTCACCCATTTTTTTGCTTTAAATTTGATTAAAAACTAAAATTTAGTATTTCTATTAACAAATTTAACATTTTTACCTGCTAATAAATGTATTAAACTTTATTTTAAAGCTGAAATAAAGCATAAAAGTGGGTGAGCGAATTTACCCGCAATGAGCGAAATAACCCCGTTTTACGGTACGTTATTTAGTTAATTAATTTATTTACAAAGAAAATTTGACAAAAAATTATTTTCTCATCGTGATATTTTTTTTGAGCTACCAATAAATTTTTTACAAATAAAATTTTAAAAAAATTATTTTCTCATGGTGAAATTTTTTCTGTGCTACGAGTAATTTTTTTTGTTAATTATATTCTCATCGTGATATTTTTTTAGGTCACAAATAATTGTCTTGAAAAAATTTTTTTTACTACGAAAATTTAACAAAAAAATTATTTTTTAATGGTAATATTTTTTTTGTCCAACAAATTTTTTTTTTGTCAAATTTTCGTTAAAAATAATTAATTAACGAATTATTAAGTATGACATTATGTTATTAATAATTATTTATGACATTAATTATTTATTAAGTTAATTATTTGTCATATTTAAAATAAAATAAAATATCTAATAAAATCAAATTTTTCAAATGTTTCCGCGCTGCGCTGATGGCTCAGCTCTGGACTTAAGTTCGCTCAACGCCACAGGGAGGGCGAACATCATAACTGTTTCTCGCAGTTGAGGTGCCATTAGATTGGTATATAAGCAGTGATCGAAAATTTTTTTTTTGTCGAAATTTTTTTCTGCCCGATGTCTCTCCTTTATTGGATTTGAGACAAATTCTTTTTTGGAAGAAATGGTTTCACTAATATTTTGATGACCATTTTTTTATTTTAATTTAAATATTAAAAATAAAATAATAATAATAACTATTAAAAAATAATAAAAATAAATTTTTTTTAAATTATTGATTTTTTAAATTATTATTAAAATTTTTAATATTGGATATTGGACTTACTAAATTACTAAATAAATAATATTAAAATAATTTTTGCAACATCGTAAACGACGTAGTAAACGACATCGTAAACGACGTAGTAAACGACGTAGTTTGCTACTATGTCGTTTTCTACGTCGTTTACTACGTCGCAAACTACTTAGAATACGACGTCGTAAACGAGGTCGGAATTTTCAACTGGGTAGAAACCATATCGGAAACTATATGGGAAAATACATCTTTGCCTGTCCCAATTTCCAACATCGATTCCTGTATAGTTTCCGATATAGCATCCCATATGGTTCCCGATATAGTTTCCTATATGCATTTAGATAACGTTTCAGATGTAGGCTACAATCTATGTTCCGATGTCGGAATTTTCGATAGGGCGGTGTTTCGTGCCACTTGTGGTACGAAACAGCGCCACTTGCGTCCGAGACGCTCGTGAGCCGTACAGGCTTCCGAAACCTTTATAAAGGCGCCGTCCCATGACAACGTGAAACACCGGCGTAAGGACCTGTCCAGAATAGACAAGAAACGTGAACGTAACGTCACAATGTATTTTAAATGGATACGTTACGTTTACGTTCATGTTTTTGGTCTATTGTGGACTCAACCTAAAGGCCAAAGCAGAATATTCTTGAAGGCCTAAGCACAACTAACCCACAGCGAGAAAGCAGCGGGCTTATTGAACTCGCACGACAGCACACCTTTTAACCGGGGTGGAAGAAGTATACGAAATAAAATATGTTTGTCAGTGAATGTGGTCAGACGTAATATTTTATTGTTCTGTTTAATTTTTCTATCACTTGTATCACCGATGCCGAGTATGCTTGCGTCGTTTACCATTGGAGTAAAAAAAACGGGAATATGTTTTGTCTCTTTTACTCCAATGGTACACGACGCAAGCATACTCGGTTTCGGTGAGGTATACAAGAGCCTTAAGGCCTTAAGGCCTGAGCAGAATAGAAACGTAACCGGAATCGTAATTGCAAACTCAACCGGAAGAATGAGTTAGAGAAGGATAGACATATTGTTTCTCCTTCTCTAACTCATTATTCCGGTTGCGTTTACAATTCTGGTTACGTTTCTATTCTGCTCAGGCCTTTAACTATGCGTAATCCATTTTTAAATAGCCAACGCTTTTAAGGTGCTTTTATACCTACAGTATTTTGGTCAATTAATTGGCTGGATTTAAATTTCACGGATGTACCGCTGAATTTGATTGGCTGTACAATAAATTTCATTTTTGTGTTTTCTAAAGATAAGAACTATGGAAATGGAATTTTTAATATCGCCAATTAAATTAAAGGCGCCGTTCCATGACAGCGTGAAACGCCGGCGTAAAGCGAAAAGCATGAGATCGAAAGAGATAATGAGATATCTTTATCTCTTTCGTTCTCATGCTTTCCGCTTTTACGCCGGCGTTTCACGCTGTCATGAGACGGCGCCTTTCATAATATGACCGTGAAAATTCAATCCAACCGATAATACACCGCTGATATTAGGGTACGGACACACTATCTCATGCATATACACTGTGGGTTGGTTTTCATTGTCTCCACGCGTCATTTGTCATAATTTTCGTCACCCTGCTCTAGTGAAAATTTAGTAACTTTATAGTAACTTTTAATTTTAACAATTAAAGGCCTAAGCAGAATAGATTTTTCAACGGGAACGCAATCGTAAACGGAAACGTAAGAATAAGTAAGAGAAGGATAGCAAATATATTTATTCTTCTCTCACTCATTCTTACGTTTCCGTTTACGATTGCGTTCCCGTTCAAGAATCTATTCTGCTTTGGCCTTCAGTCACTAAAATTTCACTAGAACAGGGTGCGGTAGTTGACGAGAATTATGACATGTGGCGAGTAGAAAATTTGGCGATTAAGGCCTAAGCACAACTGAATCGGGTACGCAGGTCGAATACGGGATATGTAAGTTCCCGCAACCGCCTTTAATTGTGCGTTGAAATACGGTTGCGCGAAACCGTTTTTTCAAACGCACAATTAAAGACGGTTGCGGGAACTTACATATCCCGTATTCGACCTGCGTACCCGACTCAGTGCTGCTTAGGCCTTTAGAGAAAATGGAAACCTTCCATCGGTTCGTTGCCATTGTCATCACTCGCCATTTGTCATAATTCTCTACTAACGTACCCTGCTATGATGAAAATTCATTCAATTTACGGTAACTTTTATGGAGCATTTACACCTTCGGTAAAAAATTTTCTTCTCTTTACATTTTCCGAAATACACATACCTGATAGGTTGTCCAAAATCTGATTCATTGTGGACAACCAATCAGGTAAGTGTATTTCGGAAAATATAAAGAGCAGGGTACGGTAGTTGAAAATTATGACAAATGGCGAGTGTGGACTTTGGCTAAAGAAATAAAAACCAAAATGTCTGACGAAGTAGGTAAAAGTCATTAGACAAAAGTAGTTCGCAGATGCATGCGTTAGATAAGGATAGATATAATATGTATTTGACGTATCCTTTTCTATCTTATGAACAACGTTCGCGAGCGAGCTTTGACCTTTTGGCAAATTAAGGCCTTTCTCCAATAGGAACCTAAACTTTTGCGTTGCGTGACTGACGCGTTGATTTTAGCATTGGTTGCCAATAGCAACCGACGCAATGCATACGCAACGCAAGAGTTTAAGATCCTATTGGAGAAAGGCCTTTAGAAGTGTCACCGGGGTGGACGCAACCGAAAAACTTTGTAGAAGTTGCGCAATAGACCTTTTCATGCTGATTGTTCTGTCCTTATCTAACGCATACAATGACTATGAGGTTGGATTTACATGTACATGTAGAATGCAAAACCGAAAATAATGAGAGTGAAAAGGACAGGGATATATCACTATCCTTTTCACTCTCATTATTATCGGTTTTCCATTCTGCATTTACATCAATATGTAACTCCATCCTGAGTTGGAAGAGGACAGAATGATCAGCATGAAAATGTCTATATTTCGGGCGTTTCACTTTATGTCGACAATTGTGAATTTGACATAATATTCATTATGCTCTTTTCATTTTTGATAAGTGAACGAAAGCATCCCGTTTTGTGTTTTCTTCTTCTTTCTTGTTCTCATATATCTATACACCCAGGTAAATTAATGCTGTCCTTCCGGTGAGGTTCTGCGCATCAAAAATATATGATGTCTATTATGTGATAAATTACAAAAAAAGAAGAATTTTTTTTATTCCCTCATTTGTAGGCAGTTCTTATGATAGGTAAAATTGTAGTAAGTGTGTAACACGTGCGTGTGATAAACCCTTGATAACTTTAAGTGGCAAGATTTGTGTATGGTACAATTTGACATGTAAATGTTAAATCAATGAATGAACATGTATATAATATTTGAAAGTTCATTTTAGAAGACCAAGAAAATACTCTCAAAAGTTGCGTCTTTTGTGCCGTTTACGATTAACGCTTCTACCGGCAGAAAATTGTGTATGAACTTTTTAAGATACCAACACACATTCTCGTTTTATATGTCAAAATGTCTGGAACATCACAAAGAATGCGGAAGTCTTCTCCGTGTTCAACATCAAAACAAGGTCCAATGCGTGCTACTTTACCTGTAAGTTCACTTCTTAGGCACAGCAGACAAAGTAATACTTTGAGAAAAAGCAATAACAATAGTCCAACAGTCTCGCCAACTAATGTCCATACTTGGCGTGCTCGCATCTCACCAGAAATTTCATTATCAGGCCAAAGAAGTCCTGGATCTCTTTCTTACAAAGGTAAAAAAAATCTTTATTTAATTTTATCATTTTTTTTAATTGTCATTTTATTTAATTGGTAACAATTAAGTTAGTCGATGAAATTCTCAAAAGTTACGAATTTTCACCCTTTGTTCCAAGTTACATTATAACACAAAATGTACTTTTCAATCTCATGAGCTTAGTATTCGGCGTATGATAAAATATAATATTGACTGCTTCGTAATTGTGAAAAATTCACAAAATATATTTATTATCAAAAAAAAAGTTGGAAAAATCGGTAAAGTAGATTTCGTAGTATATAACCTCAAAGAATAATTGTTGTGACAATTTAAAAACAAGATATAAAATTTTTAGACCTAATTTCCTCCTGGAAAAGTATAATAATTTAAATCTAATCTGCCCTTTAATGATCCTATTCTTCCTGTCTAAATAAATTTGATAAATTTATTTAATACTAATTAAACCTCAAACCCTATTACTAAATCTCCACTTTATAAGGGCAAATCTACGGGAGCAAATTATTTAACATAACTATAAGAAAATTTAAATAACATGCGAACACAGGTCTCAGATTTTACGACTATTTTCGACTTATTTTACAAAATAAAATTAAAAATTAATTTATTAAATAAATTTTCAAAAGTATATAAATCCATTTTTCAAAAAAGTGGAGCTAAACGAAGATTAAAATATTAAAGATCTTATTAATCAATCAGTCACTGTTAAAATTTAAAAGAAAAATTTTATTAACAAAGAAATTTAAATTTAAAAACATTTGGGTTTAACTGAAACAGGCCTAAGGTTGCCACGGGTCAAGGAAATCGGATGAAAGTCAGGCAATTTTATGAAAAGTACTGAAAAAATATCAAATATCTAAAAATGCTACTAAACTTATAATTTTTGAAATTTTCAATTCAAACTATTGCATCTAAAAATTAATGTCTTACATTTTTATAATTGTAGGTCTCGGATCGATTTTTGAAAGAAAACAAAAGTCACTTTAGTCGATTTACATTACAAGAAAAGTCTAAAGAGTCAATTTTTAATTTTCAAAAAATTTAATTAATTGATAAATATTTTATTATTATTAACAATTTTTGTTATTAGAAATTAAATCTAATTCCTTAATAAGAATGTTTCACAGAAATATTTTCAACAATTTTTCTTTTTAAACCACCAAATTAAACTGAGACAAAATTTCAAGATTTCAATTTATTTCCAGAACAAATTTTAAAAAATAATTTAGTTACATTGAAAAAAATTTAAAATTTTCAATTCTGATTCATACACATTATTTAAATTTAGAATTTCGAAAAATGTTTTAAGTAATTAAATTTTCAAAGAATTTTATTAAAATATTTTTGAAAAAAACTAAATTTCAAATGAAAATTTGTAAAATAATAGAATTTTAGAAGATTTTTAATTAAAATTATTATATAATAATAAAATGCTTGGTCTGTCCTTCTGTCCTAACTTGAAGTTGGCCTTTTCTGATTTCACGTGTTTTTTTGAATAGTAATCTTATGACGTGTCAAATTTTGACAATTCTTTTTCTCATTTTTGCCAAAGTTGTATAATTGTGTTTCCAAATTTCGGAATAAGTTTCTTTAAAATTCCAAATTCCAAAATTCAATTCACGAAGTTGAAGTACACAACGTTTACCAACGAAATTTTTTTTAAAGTTGTATATGTGATTTTAAATTATAAACAATTGTTAAATTTCATACAAATTTTAATTGAAAAATAATTTTGATATAATTGAATTTTTGATGTATTTAATTAAAATTAATAAAAATAATTAATTTAGTGAAGAATCATTTTAGTTCAAAATTTGTTAAATAATTGAATTGAAGAAGATCTGAAGAAGATATAAGTTTTATACTAAAAAAATGTATTTTATTTACATTTTTTTCAAATGTAAAAAAAATGTCGTATTTTATTAAAATAAGTCGATAAAAGTCGTATTTTTGAAAAAAGTCGGAAAAAGTCGTATAATCCGAGGCCTGTAAACATATAATTTTCATTATTATCATTTAATATGTAATAATATTTTAATAAATTAAATTATTATTGATAATATTAATCTTTAATTTCTTTATAACAAACAATTAAATAGGCAATTTGGCGCGCCTGCGCACGTTTAATTTTACTAGTTTTATATAAAATTTTTATATAAATAATTAAATAAATAAATTTAAAAAAAAAATTTAAATAACCCGCCTCGGATTATACGACTTTTTCCACCTTTCTTAAAAAAAATATGACTTTTTTCGACTTATTTTAATAAAATGCGTCTTTTTCGACTTTTCTTTAGTGTTCAAAAAAAAATACGTTTTTTTAGTATACAATGCAAATCTTCTTCAAATCTTCCTTATTTCAATTATTAAACAAATATTTAACTACAATTTTTCACTTAATTAATTATTTTTAATAAATTTAATGAAATTTTTCACAAATTCAATTACCTTAAACTATTTTTCAATTAAAATTTTTATGTAATTTAATAAATGTTTATAATTTTAAAAAAATTAACAAATAAAATTACCAAAAAAATTGTAATTATAAATCACTTGAAATTCAATTATCTGCAAAAAAATGGCAATTATTTTTAATGATTTTTATAATATTCTTCGAAAATTCAATTATTAGAAAGCATTTTTCAATTAAGGGGACTTTCTAGTTTAGAATAGACAAAATAGACACGTTTTATAACTTTTACTGTAAGAAAAGTATTAAATAAATTGCAAAAATTCTTTTTGGACATTGTTGCACATTACATTAGAGAAAATTAAAAATTTTTTTTAGTGTATTTAGTTCAATTTCTTAGCTATAGGTGGCGTCTTCTAAAAGGTGCCTTTTTTTGGTGCACGATTTTTCAAAAAGTTTTTTTTTATTTTTTATGAACATTTTTCTCCAAAATTCGAAAAAACGACATAGTTTTGGGGCTATTTACCCCCTTATAAAAAAACAAGGGATAGAAATATGAAATTTCAAAGGTTTATTCTCTAGTTTTTTAAACTAAAGAATCGAATGGTTTTTGTTTTTTTAAAATCGGTTTAGTAGATTTCGAGAAAATCCATGCACCAGTTTGAAAAATGTGTTTTCGAGAAAAACGCGTTTAAAGTTTTCATAACATAATACATTGAGCCAGGACTATCAAACAATTTTTTATTTCAACTTTGTTTTTTACATATCTTTTTAAAAACGTTTTGGGACAGTAATTTTATGGTACTAAGAAACATTTTTTAGAAAAAAATTAATTTTTTGAATTCTAAACCAGAAAGTCCCCTTGAAAACTTTTGGAATTTAATTTTTGTATGTGATTTCTAATAAATTCATCAACAGAAATCACTAAAAATTTCTCTTATTATAATTATTGTTTGAAATTTAACACAATCTTTTGAAATATTCAATTATTTTCAAAAATTTAAATTTAAATGCTTCTAAAATTTTCCATCTAAAATTTTTTGAAATTTAATAATTTCAATTATAACAATCCTGAAATTCAATTTTTTTCAATGATTTTTATAATATTCTTCGAAAATGCAAACTACTATTTTTGTGCCTTAAAGTCGATCCGAGGCCTGAAATCAGGTAAACGTCAGGTAATTTTATGAAAAGTACTGAAAAAATACCAAATTTCTAAAAATGCTACTAAAATTATAATTTTTGAAATTTTTATTTAAAACTTTTGCTTCTAAAAATTATTATCTTACATTTTTATAATTGTAGGTCTCGGATCGATTTTTGAAAGAAAAAAAGTCATTTTAGTCGATTTATATTACAAGAAAAGTCTAAAAAGTCGCTTTTCTTATTTTCAATAAATTTAATTACTTGATAAATATTTTATTATTATTAACAATTTGTTATTAGAAATTAAATCAAATTTATTAATTCCTAAATATGAATGTTTCACAAAAATATTATCAAGAATTTTTCTTTTTTAACCACCGAAGACAAATTTTCAAGATTTCAATTCATTTCCAGAAAAAATTTTCAAAAATAATTTAAAATTACATTTAAAAAAAGAAAATTTTTCAAGTCTGAGTTATGCACATTATTCGAATTTAGAATTTCGGAAAATGTTTTAAGTAATTCAATTTTTAAAGAATTTTATTAAAATATTTTTGAAAAAAAAATTAATTTTAACTTTAAATTTGTAAAATAATTGAATTTCAGAAGATTTTTAATTGAAACTTTTATTTTGAATTGGTGACATTTCTTAAAAAAAAACTTTAGACAAATTGGCACCTAGTTATCAGCCCTAAATTAATTTTGAAAAAATTTATGTTAGCAATAACATAAATAAAATTAATAAAGTTAAAAAAAATTAACTCTATTAACTTTATTTATGTTATTGCTACCATAAATTTTTTCAAAATTAACTTGTGGCTGTTAACTTGGTACCAGTTTCAGTTTTATAATCATGTAATTTTCGAAGAATTTGTTTTAAAATATTAAAAAATAATTGATATTGCAAACAATTCAAGTTAATATATTTTTTTAATAATTCAATTTTAGGAAATGAAAAAAAGTCGAAAAAGTCGTGCAACCGGAGGCCTGTTATTGAAAACCTCTTGAAATATTTTTGCTTCCTCGTGGAGGAAGCTATGTAGTCCTTTCGTTTATAAACTTTTTAAAAATAGTGAAAACAAATTTTCCTCTATATAGAAACATGTTATATGAGATCCTGATCAATTGTCCGGATGTATGTATGTGTGTGTGTATGTGTGTGTGTGTGTGTGTGTGTGTGTGTATGTGTGTGTGGATCGTTTTTGTGAACACGATATCTTTAACAGGTTTTAATGGATTTGGATAAAATTTGGTAGGCTTATTTAACACATTAATCTCTCAAAAATGACGAGAGGATTTTTAAAAATACCCCAAAAAAAAAATTTTATCGTCTTTTTTCCAAAAAATTTTTTTTAATTGAAAAAATTTTTAAATCAAAAAATTTAAGGTAATATATAATATATTCGTCTTCTTTATGTCAAGATGAATCAATTGATATATATAAAGTATAGATTTGATTGAAATTTAAAGAATTAAAGAAAGTTAAAAAATCAAAAATTCTCATTTTAATTAAAAAATGATGTGTTTATTTAAATTCATGTTTATATATGAAATAATTTTATTCCCTGCATTGAAACGAATTGGTTGGTATATATAAAGTATAGATTTGATTTAAAATTTGAGAATTAATAAAAATTGAAAAATCGAAAATTCATATTTTAGCTAAAAAATTTTTTGTTTTTTTTTAAATTCAAGTTGATGAATAAAATAATTGTATTCCTTGCATTAAAACGAATCGATTCGTATATATAAAGTTTATGTTACACTCAAAATTAATTAAAATTTTCTTTATTTTTCAAAAAATTTAATTAATTTAAAACATTTTTAATTCGAAAGTTTTTAAATCAATCAATTGAATTGGACAAATTCATTGCTTCCTTCACGAGGAAGCGAATTTTTTGCTTCACACAATGAGGAAGCATAATGTTTATGAAATAAACATAAAGGACCCCCTACTTGTTTATTAGGGTCAGGGAAAGAATTTTAATTTTGACTGGAAATCAGTAAAAAAAGTCAGGGAAAAACAAAATAATATTTTTTGTTTGCAGTACATTTTTACAGCAAACTTGAAGAAAACTTGCAGTAAATTTTCCAGAAAAATTAAAAAAAAAAAAAATTTAATACTTCCTGTATTTAAGTGTAACTCACTAATGGCCCAAGAAGACCGCGGGTTCACTATTTGAATAAATAAATAAATAAGAGGACCCAAAGAAGGGTCAAAACGTCTAAACTTAAAAACATCTATTTTCAAAATTATTCAAACGACTCTAAAACAAGAAAAAATTCAGAATTTATAATTGTGTATACTTATAATCTTTTTTAGCAAAATCAAAAACCTTAAGTGGTCGCTGCAGTAATAGCTTGAGTGGAAACCAAAATATTCGTCGAACAGCATCTTTAGATACGATTTACTTAAAAGGACAATGGCCACGAGATTCATATTATATTCATTCTAATCTTTTAGTAGACAAGGCTACGCAAGTAAGAACATTATTAACAAAATTATATAAATACTGTGTCAAAATCAAAAGCCTATTTAGAGATAAATTTTAAGTTTTTATATCGAAAATATCTAATGAAATACTTTACGGTTTGCTAAATATATAAAAAAATAAATGATGAATTGTTAAATTAAAAAATAATGAAGGCCGAATAGAATTTTGATTTTTAAAGTGAAATTGCGAATAGTTTTAATTGTGAATTGAAAGCTTGAATCGAAACATTACGCAGATTTGATTTTTATACCGCGGAAAAATAAAAAGTATTAAAAAAATGTATTTTCAGAGACTTATTTTTATATATTGAAATCGAATTCATGAATGTTGTAATTATTATATTCCATAGTATTTTATGAATAAAGAATAATCAAAGATTTTTAATCTTATAGACAGAAGAATGGAGCAATGAATCACGAAAAGCATATGTTCGTCATTCAACTGAACAAAGTTCAACAGATGAAAAATTAGAAAAATATTTCAGGCATCGGTTAGTAAAAAGATTAATTGAAATTTTGTACTTTAATATAAATATATTCATTTAAGTATTAATTTTCTTTTATTAATAATTTAGATTACAGCGCTCAAATAAAGAAGGAACCAGTAGTAGAGAAAGAACAGCAGCTTTTGGTCTTATAATGCCCGGTGGGTCTTCGGTTGCTCTTCCTGGAGATCATAACGTTATTTTACCCAGCATTGCTTCTCAGACGCCGTTACGTAAGTCTAAAGTCTATCTTTATTACAGTAAGATATTGCCGTTGCTGTTTCAAATTTTTAAATAGATCTATATGGTACTGAAAATCCATAATTTTATTTTTGATTAATAATAAAAGAAAGAAATAAGTTTTTTTGTCTGTAATTTGAATATTGTTATCATCTCAGTAACTAAAGTCGACAAAGTGTTTTCTTTTTATGCAGATGTATAAATATTATATTTTTCAATAAATTACATTTTTTTTACAGATAATCAGATTAATTTAAGTACGCGACCAAATCCTTTAAGCGTGCCGAAAGCGATACGACCTCCTATGCGTTCTTCCATTGAAGGTCTTAATCAAGAAATCGAAGGACTTGTACTTAAGTCAACAACTTGTTCTAATGATTCTGATCATACAGTAGAAGACAGGGTAAGTGGAATAATATTTTTACCTAACTATATATTAAAATATAATACTGTTAAAATAATCCCAATTCTTCTATATTTCTCTTTAGTTAAAATTACCCTTTTGCTCATTTTGTAGAGATTCTTATAATTTTTAGATATAGTTCAAGCGATTAAATGACAAAAACAAGTTTTTCATAATATAAGCGTCCAAATTTAGGTGGACTCCTACTTTTGAAGTTGAATTGAAAATTAAATCGTTATTATTTTAACAGAATTTAATATTCTAAAACTTAATTAATTCTTAAAAATAAAACATTTTATTTTAATGATAAAAATTACAAATTTCAGTATGCAAAATATCGAGAGCAAATTACTCCAGAAGGACATAGAGCACCTTTAGCTGATCTATTGAGATCTACTACACGTAGTGTAAATACGCAAACACCAGCTGTTGATATACCTTCAAGTTCATATTCTTCAGGTAAATTTTTTCTTCATGTGTACCTTAAAATGTTACTGCAAAAATTTCAAAACTTAATGAGATTTTTAGCTATTAAAAACATATTTTAGTTACTTTTTTGTTATTAAATTTAAAATTATTCATATTTATGTAAGGGATTTGAAAATATAAAAACTATGTACATAGTATACAAGAATAAATACTACTACTACTACTACTACATTTTTTAGTTCTTCTAAATAATTTAAATTAAAATACAGAAATTGTTATTCGTATTAAAAATTACAAAAAAAAAAAAATAAACAATTCTAATTTTCATTGTAATTTTTACAGGTGGTAGTCGTGGTTCAACTCCAGAACAAGAAAAAGAAAGTCGTCTTGGTACATCACCGCATATTAATAGGTTTTTGGCTAGAGAACCACCTGATGGTTGTGAGAAAGTAAATCTAAAATTCGTCGAAGATGCCAGGTATTTATTTCACTTTTTAATTTGAGAACTTAACTTTGAAATAATGGTATTTCGATCTGTTGAAAAATAATTTCACTCTATCGTCATTTCGATACTAATGTTGCATAATGAACAATTTGGTCATTTTCTTTGTAAAAACATAATATCTCATTGTCAAATCTCATTGTCTGGTCTTTTAAAACTTCAGCAAAGTTAGTGAATTATTTAAAAAATGGTAATTTGAAGTACATACAGTACCGTCGGAAATTGTCGGTACGATTGACGTGCGCGGGATGAAATGTTGATGTCGCAACTAAATTAAGATATTTTAAGTTTGATAAAAGCTAGAGACTTGAAACTTAGATCACCTGAAAGCTGATAAAATTCTGCTTCTGAAAATATACCTATAATTTTTTTCGACTTTCTGGAGCGATTATAACACTGGAAAGATTTCGAAAAAAACGTTTAATTTTCCCAATTTCGTACCCAGTTTTTGATTCCCTGCATAATCTAGGAAAATGCAAGGAAAAATTTGTAACTCCTACAACATAATCTTAAAGATCTTAGCTTTAAAAGTAATTTTTAAGACTTAAAAAATATTGTTTCGTTTTTGAGATAAGTTGAAAAATGTCAGAGCCTGTTTTTACACAACTCAGCGTAAAAGATTAGTTCTTGCATCCTCGCTGCTTCTCCCGTTCCTTGCGCCAGGGCCGAATATGCGTGCGGGCCCCTGCTTGAAACCCGTCTTGTATTTTCTTATATTTACAGTTATTGATTATTAGAATATTAATTAATTTATTTAAAAAATGTTATTATTATTAGTTAATTAAAAGTTTAACAAATACTTTTTAATATTGTACTTAAAATTTACCAAATTGGAAAAATGTTCTTCTTTTTCAGAACTTTAAAATTTTTTGTTTAAAATTTGTAATTAATTTTGAAAAATCATAATTCATTTCTTTTTTTGGCACACGTGTTGCACAATTTTCATAATTATTACTCAATCTACAAGTCTGAAATCTGCGAATAGTCCTTACAACACCATTTTTTGATACATTCCCTAGCGGATGGGTTCAACGCGATTTGAACGGAATAGCGTTGAAACACCGTTGGGAACACAACGGTCACTAAAAATGTTATTTACAAAATAAAATATGATAAAGTATTTATTGGTATTTGTAGAAAAAGTGTTCATGAGTAATTTAAGACCTTATTTGTATCAATTTAATACGAAATAAGTGAAATAAAAGATAAAATATGGAGCACTGTTATATCAGGGTTTTCTGTCAAATTTTTATATAATTCAATGAAAAGTGTTTTTCTCCATCAGCTTGCTACTCGGGGGTTTTTGGGTTCGCTGATTACGAATATAATAACAAATTTTGAAAATTCAAAATGTCGAAACAAAAAAAATTAAACTTAAAACAAATTCTCTGGAAGTACGTTACTCGGGGGTTTTTTGGGTCGCTGATTACGAATATAACAACAAATTTCCAAAAATCAAAATGGCGGATCCAATATGGCGGATCAAAGAATTAAACAATAATCGAATTTGTTATTATATACGTAATCAGCGAACCAAAAAACCCCCGAGTTACAAGCTAATAAAGAATTTGATTATGTTTTAATTTTTTTCTATTCGTTATATTTTATTTGGTATTTTGAATTTTGGAAATCTGATATCAAATTTGAAAACCCCCTAGTAACATTTTTTAAGAATATTCAATAAGCCTTTAGCATTTTTTTATTTGTGTCTAGATGCATCATCGACGTTCAGTGGGTTAAATATTTTTCTTGTCAAAGTCTTATTAATTGTTTACTGTGCTGCCATCTAGCGTTCACCGATGTCACCTGTAACTTGCAGTCGATAAACGTTGTCCAATACACACAAATAGTACACAATAAACACATTAATTTTCACTATTTATTACCCTTTCAAATGCTTTAAAATCATAAATTAATACTTTTTCACTGTTTTTTTATTATTAAAAAATCATATCTAAAACACTTTTCATTGAATTATATAAAAATTTGACAGAAAAGCCTGATATAACAGTGTTCCATATTTTATCTTTTATTTCACTTATTTCGTATTAAATTGATACAAATAAGGTCTTAAATTACTCATGAACACTTTTTCTACAAATACCAATAAATACTTTATCATATTTTATTTTGTAAATAACATTTTTAGTGACCGTTGTGTTCCCAACGGTGTTTCAACGCTATTCCGTTCAAATCGCGTTGAACCCATCCGCTAGGGTTTACTTCCTTTGCAATTTTATCATAAGAAAGTCCTTGCTCACGTAAATCACAAATATTCTTCCTCAAGTTCAGACTAATACTGTTTTCTAGTTTCATTTCGACACTTTTATATGAAAAATAAAATTAATTAACATCAACGAAAAAAGGAATTGTTACATCAAATAAAATGTATTGTCAATGTAAAACTAATATGTTATTATATTGTTATGACCACAAATTTTTGTCATTGTCATAAGAATATAACTGTTAAGTTTATTACATAGTTTTATATTTTGAAACCGTTTCGCTCAATGTAACAATTCCTTTTACTCCGTGTAATATAAATTACACTCATAAATTTTTTTTTAAACCTGCGTAATAATAATTCTTAAATTTTTTAAAATTAAAAATCACTCACACAAATTTAAGGCCTTCACAATAATATTAATATGTATTTAGAACAAAAGTCACTCTCACAAATTTTGCATTAAATTTATTTTAAAATAGAAATTTCAAGTGTGAAGTTTGAACAAGTACTGCCTAATTTATCAATAGATTCTATAAGCTTTTGTTTGCAAAATTCAATGAATCATTGTTTTTCTTTGCTTATTAGAAATTGTCGAAATATTATTCTCATATTTAACATAAGATTCCAAAACTTTTCAAGCTATTGAAAATATTATAAGTAAAATTTAACCAAAAGATTGAATGTAGATACAAAAATTAGTCTGGATTAAAAGGGCAGAAAGTGCATTTTCTGAAAAAAAGAACTTTCTTATGTACACTAAATTATATATAGTATAATATAATAATACAATAAATAATAATAATAAATATTAATAATAATAAAATATTTATGACATTTATAATAATCAATCACTGTAAATATAAGAAAATACAAGACGGGTTTCAAGCAGGGGCCCGCACGCATATTCGACCCTGGCGCAAGGAACGGGAGAAGCAGCGAGGATGCAAGAACTAATCTTTTACGCTGAGTTGTGTAAAAACAGGCTCTGACATTTTTCAACTTATCTCAAAAACGAAACAATATTTTTTAAGTCTTAAAAATTACTTTTAAAGCTAAGATCTTTAAGATTATGTTGTAGGAGTTACAAATTTTTCCTTGCATTTTCCTAGATTATGCAGGGAATCAAAAACTGGGTACAAAATTGGGAAAATTAAACGTTTTTTTCGAAATCTTTCCAGTGTTATAATCGCTCCAGAAAGTCGAAAAAAATTATAGGTATATTTTCAGAAGCAGAATTTTATCAGCTTTCAGGTGATCTAAGTTTCAAGTCTCTAGCTTTTATCAAACTTAAAATATCTTAATTTAGTTGCGACATCAACATTTCATCCCGCGCACGTCAATCGTACCGACAATTTCTGACGGTACTGTATATAAGAAATATATATTCAGAAAACGTCTAAATTTCAAGTTTTGTTCAAATCGAAGCATTTTTAAACAGTTTACTCCGTCATATTGGACACGCCATTTTGAAATTTTTAATTTTACCATCATATTTAAATCAGCGACCTTTTACATTAAAATACCAAATTTTGTTCAAATCAGACAATTTTGAGAAATTTCATTAATTTAGTCCGTCATTTTGAGTTTTCAAATTTTAATATTATTTTACTATGTTTTTAAATTACTAACTTTGCTAAAATTTTTGAAGCCCAGAAAATGAGATATAGAATTCTATATAATTCTACAATAATTTTGTTACATTTGATTAAAAAATCATTAAATTTGTTCAAGAGATAATAAATTTTCCGTAAATCTGGATACTTTTGAAATGATAAAATAAAATCTGTACCTAATGGAGGCATTATTTCATAATCAGTATTGCCAATCTCACCTTTTATAATCTGAAACTTTTTTCCTGATCAGTTGTAGACCAAAAAAAATAATGAGAAATATTTTGTTGTGATTACCATTACTTAATTCAAATCTTTCAACACTTCTTAAGATTGTAATTAAAGCAACCTAAAACTAAAATTGATAAACATCACACATTCACATTTTTACACATAGTACACAGACATATTACATACAGTATAGTGATTATTTATTCAAGTTAATATATACTTATTCAATTATTCGTTCAACAAAACGCAACAATTATAATTGCCTGGGAAATGAAAGACTGAAAAGCAAAAGTTGATATAATCTTTGCGAATATTCCGCCCAAGTTGTGTCATGTTAAAAATTGTTTTACATCGGATGAGATATGGATAAATCATAATGATGGATTAATAACTCTTTCTAATTACTGCATCTCCATGCTATTCGACAATTCAATAACTAATTTACTTTTACACTAAACTCCAAAAAGAAGAACCCTGCTAAGAAATTACGAGGCGATGTAAATCAACGCTTGAGACTGAAAATTCGACACAATTTGTTACATTTATCAATAGATACTGCAATACTGTGTCTCTCCAACTATTGACCGAACAACTAAATGAATTAGAAATACGATAACTCAAAAAAATCAATTCAAACAAAAAGGAAGAAGTGACGAAAATGTATGAAACGCCGAATCGTTTAAGGAGAATAATTCTAAAAATAAAAAGAAGAGTTTCAATTGTAATTATTGCAAGAAATCAGAACACAAAGCGTCTTAATTTTGAAAGAAAGTAGGAAACAATTAGTAAAGTTTCAACAAGCGTTCTCGAAAATGTGAAATCAGAAGAAAAATCCTCGTTGAAAAGTATATTTAACGTTAAACCACCTGGCGCGAATTTACACATGTGCTGAGACAAACCTCGTTTTC